TATACATTTCGTCCGGCCGTTAGTTCCGCCACTGCAACCAAGTGGGTGGCAAATACAGTAATATTCTTGAAACTCTGCCTGTATCGCTGCTGCTGTCAATATCACAACCTTTTCAGCGGAGTTCCCCTAGTATGCACTACACACCATTACGACACTTGCTCAGAGTTGCGTCAAAATCTCAGATTCGGCTAAAAAATAGGACGCTATAACAAGATACGTGAGGGCAGTTCATTTGAAACCGCCTGAAACATCCCTACTTTTAGTTTCCATGTCGTCCTTTGTTGAAATGTGGGCATTTGATGCTGGATGTACTGTAATTGTTTTTGTACTGTATGTCAAACGGGGATTAAAGGAATCTTCCAAAAAAAAATCGCCTCCATTCCTACAAAAAAACGATACCTTAGGCCCCTTGCTTCATGAAGATAGCAAAAAGAACGGAACATAGGCGATGGTTTTGATAATAATTATGATAACCAATTCCTTCAAGATGAATTTTCTAGACCATGCCAAGGTGCCTTCTTAACATGTAGACAGAGTGAAAATCGTGTCGAGCATGGTCTCGGCAATTCTTTCCCAGAACCAGGATCTTTGTACGGCTCCCCTATACTGCTTTGCACCGCAACTATTTTCATTATATCCTCACCGGCAGTTGCGCGCAGTTTATCACTGGGTCAGATTTGCTGGAGAGCCCCCGAAAACCACAGAAATCTACACCCTCGTTAGAAAGGTACCATTCCCCTTTCAAACAGGATGTGGTAGGGTTGATGGAGCTGGTTGAGCTCTGAAAGCTCTCCACTCGGAAAGATAGGGTCCTCAAATTTGCGTCGAGTCACGAGGACGCTGAAATTTTCATGCGAGTTTTTGCCACTTCAAAAGCAATATCTCTCTAATTCGTAAGACCTGAAAAAAGGAAGACAGTTTTGGAAAGCGGAAGGTTTGCGCTTTCTAACAGTATGTTTAGCTTCCTTCTACATTTCTAGTTGAGGAGATATCTGCGTCGAGGATCTATCGAGGACGATTCTCGGCCACTGAAAAGCCGCTCCCTTCTTCACCATTGCAAGTTAATTCGTTGGCAACGCTCGAAATGTGTCTAGAAACATCCTCCCAACATAAGCGACAAGAAAAGGGGCAATCGTCATCGTCCGATTTCGTCTCAGTATAGGCCATGCATCCGACCTCCACTCGAAGTTGCAGAATCGATTGAAAGGTGTTATATGATGATGACCTTTTGACAGAAACTGTATTGTAGTAAACACATTTCGTAACTTCTATAACCTACCGAACTAGCTTTGTTTGCCCAGAGCCTTTCTTTGACTATAGTG